GTGTATGAAGCGTGCCATCTATCAAGCATCACTTCAAACATACGATATATAATCATTGGGAATCGTCTATCTCATCATATGTGAGGCATTAGGATTTTTTGGAGTGTTCAGGACTGGCATTAGCCCGAGTCACTTTGATTAGTCCAAGTGTAGTATTGTCCAACATTGAGGCCCGGGTCGGTCATACGTTGGCGGCTACCCTAGTAGGTTTTGTATCTTAACGGGAGATAGAGATGCAATTCTAGCAAAGTAGCTTCCGAGTAGATCAATGAGGTTCAGTAGGTATGGGGGCGTGATTACAGTGAACTAATTCTAGGTAAGCGAAGATCAGTACATATCGTGTGAGGTGATAATAAGAATGTAGTAGAAGACTTACTGGTGCCAAGTGTAGTCGGGCGGGTCTGAGACTCAATGGCGAGTCTCAAACTGATCTCAGAAGGTTGTTTGTTATGAAGCGGATACCTGGATGCAGACTCTTCCTAACATGGTTGATTCTAATGGGGCCTACATGGGAGTGACTACAGTGTTGACGTAGCATGAATGAGTCGCACCAGGGGGGGATTGTCCAGTGTGATATAGGATGGTGAATAGAGCTGTGATGTGGTCTATGGAGATGACGGCCGCTACATGTTGCAAGTTTATCCACGAGAGAGAAGATACGCTGATGGGCCATGCACCCTAAAAGACCTTGATGGGAGATCACATGTGGGACCCTGCTTCGCATGACACTGGAGGTGCTATTTCACTGGCCTATGTGATGATTTCGCCACTTTGATTCTTGTGGCTGGTGATTACATGATACTGTTAACGTATATGCAATGCCGTGAACACTCACTTAAAAAGCCAAATGCAGTAACTTAGCCATGCGAGCCGCGAGTAGAAGTCTTCTATTCGCCCTAAACGCATGTTGCCGATGATGAGACTTGCTCCGCACGCACATGTACTACGGGGTATCTGATGCTAAGATTCTGAGCACTACTGTAGCTGACGGTCCCATACCCTCATATCTCTTCCCCTCGGGCCCTCCCCTCTTATCCACTGTGTTGCCCAGATCCGGGTCTCAGTATGAACATGTCTTCCAGTTCAAGTCCTTCCCATGCCTGAAAGAGTATAGCATTAATATTTATACCAGCGCACCTTTCGCATTACTTGATATTGTTGGCAGGCCCTGACGGCTCCCTAGTGATTTCGCCTTATCTCATTCAGAACGGCCTGCCCTGAATTGTTGAGTCATCCTGGGACCAGAAACTTATCCTCCATTCCGTCTTGTTAATTGCGCTAGATTATACTCCCTGCCCATGTCCGCATGCAGCGCTAGCCTACATGCATTCCATTGTTGTTACCACGAATGTTGTGGCAAGAAAGTTTTTATCTAGTTTTCTGCGTCTAGCTGAAAGACTGCGAGCACACGGAAGTTAGGCGTTTTTATTGAGTGATAACTTATTGTATGTGTTTTCAATTTACAGTTGCATTCATCTAGGTCAATAATTAAATACATACTGCCCGACTTAGCGACCTAGGCCCGGTCTCCACGACTTGATCACGCGTTGCAAGCAACAACCCTGTAATGGTATATTAGACATGTATTGACGCTTATTATTATTAAAACTAAATGCAATATAGTCTCACCTTGAGATATTGACATTTAGATATAATAATCATTTACGTTATGATGCACCGTACATGTATTTAGAATGTGTCATCTCACTAATTTTGAAATTGCATGTTACATATGAATACAGTGCCACAACATCAGCAAATTGAATTGCACTGTGAAATTACCCCAAATCCCTTGCCAGTCTTAAAATGTGATCGAATACTACCCCTTTTGACGTATCATTAATTCCTTACACAGAGGTTCCCTATTGTGCCTCGGCCCGTGAGGCTTGTACTATATCGAGTGGATGGATCACTAGTATGCAGCTATGTCTATCGCAGATTGACGACCCCACATCTATATTGCAGTCGCTGCGCACTTCTAGAGAGATCAGAGCCATTGAAGTGGTGGCGCGACACTTGGGGGGGACTACTCACTAAACTCTATGCTAGAGTACGCCTCATCACTTCCCTGAGTGGCACACCCCGGTCGACTGACGTGAACACCTTCTTCAAGTGATTGAATATAGTCCTTATTTGTTCAGCCCGTTATCTTCAATGTTTGGTTATTTTAGCACTTGCCCATCCGCCACTTATCCTTTCATTTCACTTATCCATCAATCATGGCTGAGGCACAGAAGTAGTGTAACATCAGATTCCTTGATTAGGTTATGGACCAATGATCGGAATAATAAATTGAGTGAGCACAATTCAATCCCTTGTGGCCACAGATTTAGGTGTCATTTTCATTTACTAAATTGCAAAGTGGATAACTTCTCCCATACTCGGAAGTGATGAATCATTTGTCAATCCACCATAGTCTTGATACCACCTCGATGTCGTTAATCACTACCGTTTATAGTCCTGAATAGAACTACGTTGGGTAGTGTCAAACTACACAATCGTGCACAAGGGTTCATGATCTCAATTCTAGGATCACATGCTACCATCTGTTAGAGGATTTATTCATGACACAGGGTTTACCACCATATGGAATCCTCTGCACAAGGGCTTCTGATCTCAAGTCTAGGATCACATGCCACCATCGTTAGAGGATTATTCATAGACACTAGGGTTTACCACCATATGGAATCCTCTGTGGGGTCTCTAGTGAACGTAAGCACCCATGTATTGCACCAGGTTGTAACAAACAACTTAAAAGTGAGATCAGTCACTGTCTCTTGACAGGTTTCAACACTATGATAATCTTACCGTATTATTTGTGTCTTGGTAAATAATACTGGCTACGGACTTTCTAGAATGGCACCATATGTGTCATAGGGTTCCACTATCAAGATTTGAAAACTTGATCTCTGTCACGTTTTACATCTAAGGCATATATCATACATATAACTAATTTACACGATATAGTAGAAAAGTATTTTATTGATAAATAACATTATACAAAGAGTACATATTACAATAACTTATTGACTTAGGGCACTACTAATAGTAATTCCCCTTGAAACAAAAGAGGTTAGACATCTAATCTCATCTTAAAAATTGTATTTTTTGTGTATTTGGAAATAGAGTTCAGAAAAAATTTTGAGGTGAAAAGTCCTTGACATTTGGGGATAGATGGTGTTCATAACTATGTGTTATGCCCTAATGGGGAATTTGTGTTGCTTGGACCCTGACTTGGTGAGATTGAAATCATTCAAACTAGACTCAAGCCATCCATGGTAAGGTTTTTATTTTGGATAGGGAGAGATCGTCTATGGTGACCAAGGGGATTGTTTGGTTGTTAAGAGAACATTAAATGTTGAGACTGTGGGCGAAGATGACTCATGGTTTCGCAACAATATCTTTCACACAAGGTGCACAACGTATGGCAAAGTGTGTAACATCATCATCGATGAGGGAAGTTGAGAGAATGTGATCTCATCAACTATGGTTGACAAGTTGAGTTTGCAGAGCAAAAAACACCCAAGGACCTACAAGCTTTCATGGTTCCAACTACTTGGGAACTAAAAATGGCTGGTTCAGGTTCTGGTTCCAAATTGAAGGAATCAAACAATTCCGATTCCTTAAATTTTGGGTGGGAACTCGGACCTGCCTAGCCCTTATAGCAACACCACAACCATCTCCATTCAGGACAATGCAACCCCGAACACTTTTGCACCACCACCACCATAACTGAAATCACGATCCACCCCAACCTCAATTGACCAAAAACCAACAACCTTGTCCTCTATTTCAAAGATCATAATTAGTTTATCAAATTAATTTCAACTATCGACCAAATAATTATACATATCCAAAGAGAAAAACTAAAAAAGCTTCTCTTTGTCAAATTTGAGCAAAAAAATATTAAAACAAAATAAAATTGGGAAGAGTAGAACAAAAGTTGTAAGTTATAAGAAGTGGGGGGCAATAGAGTGGGAACGGGTATGGTTGGTTGGTTGGGCTTTGCTGCTAGCAACAAAAGGGTGTAGGGAGCAACAGTGGGTGGGGTTGAGTTGTCTAGAGCCTTGAATAAAAGTGAAGTTATGAATAGAGAGAATCAATCGATCTAACGTAGGGAGTGTATGATAGCTTATAGGTGGTAGGCAAAGGAATTAGGGAAGAAGATAAGGATGAGTGGTATAATAGGTTATAGGTTACATTAAACTGATAAGGAAATTGATCTCTCTTGTTAACTCTTGTTTCGTTGCTACCATCCTCTTCTACCTTCGGGGTTGGTTTCTATGCATCCTATGGAGGTTATGGTTTGTGGGGATAGCTACAGTTTGAGTGATTCTTCTCTCCATCATTCTTGCAAAGACCCAAATGTTAATGGTGTTATTATGGGAAATAAGAAGAAGATAGTTGTAGTGGAAAAGAAGATAGAGAATGTTGCGCCTATGTCTAATAGTGAGTTCAATCCAAAGCTAGGGAGTTGCTATAATGGAAAGAGGAGACTTTATGAAAATGTGGCTGCAAAGGTTGATGAGATTGCTAATGAATATCCAACACTCCCTAATAAAGAGATGAAAGGTTCAAAGTTTAGTGACAATGAGCAAGTTGTCCCCTACAATAATCCCCAAAGCAAGGAGCATTGAAAAAAACTCTTTACTTCTACAAGAGCTAGTGCCCCTATGGAATACTACGCTCCTATTTTTCTGGATGATGGAAAAAGAGTTCAAGTATCACCACTTGCTAAAGTTGGCGATTTAGGTGTGGAGAAATGGGGGAACTATTTGGTTGGATTTTTCCTTGGCAAAAGGATGTCGTTTATGGTGGTAAGGAAGTTTGTTGATTCTAATTTGAGAAGGTTTGGTAAGGTCTATGTGATATCTAATGGGGTAAGAGGTTACATTTTGAAATTTGAGAATGACACGTTGAAAGATGCAGCCTTGGAGGAAAGCCCTTGGCAAATTGCGAGGTAGCCTTTTTTCTTGAAGAAGTGGTGTAAAAATTTAAAAATGGCTGGCGAAGAAATTTGTCAAGTGCTGGTGTGGATTAAACTTTATGTTGTTCCTCTTGAATATTGGACTCCTACGGGGTTAAGTTATGTGGCTAGTGCTATAGGGAGACCTCTATACATGGATAGTATCACGCTTGTAGGGAATAGACTTGATTTTGCTAAAGTGTGTGTTGAATTAAACACATCCTCAACCTTCCCAGAGAAAATTGAATTTGCACTTCCTAATGGTGAATCTATTGATTTTGGTGTGGAATATACATGGAAACCAAGAGCATGCGTTAGGTGTAGAACTTTAGGCCATGCTATTAAGGATTGCATCTCGCCCCCTAAAGAGAATAAGGTGCAGACTTCGCCCTCTAAGCCAAAACAAACCAAAATATGGAATGTGGTCAATAGGAGGAAGGATGTGGTGTTGGGCAATGAGTCACTTGATGTCATGGTGGGTAATAAATTAGGGAAGGGGTTATCTTTGGAAGGTCTTAGTAGAGTTGGTAATGGGAAGAATGAAACTAGCTTACCCGAGGCTAATATTATCGAGGATGGGGTTAATTTGAATAATTCTTTTGCTAAGGAAAGTCGGTTTGCTATCTTGAGTGAACAATATGTAGAGAAGGACTTTGGGGAAAGTGTGTCGGATGGGTCTAAAATCAATGGGGAAACGTCTAAGAAAAGGATGGTATGAGAGACTCTTCCTAACATGGTTGATCCTAATGGGGCTTCGAATTGGGGGGGTGCTAATGGTGATGGGGGTGAGTGTGATAAGGGGAATGAGTGTGGGGTGAATGCTCCTAATGTTGAGGGTAACCATGAAGAATTAACCCCACCTAAAGGACCCTTGATGGGAAACAATGAGGGATGCAAAATGGGGTCTATTTCATTGGTTATTGTGAGATTCGACAATTTGATTTGGGTGGATGAAAATGATGGTTTTAAGGAGGGAAATGGAGGACTTTCTAAAAGCCAAAGGAGCAAATTAGCCAAGAAGGCAAGAGAAGCTTCTAACACCAAACCGTCCCATGATTAAGCTTGCTTCGTGGAATATAAGGGGTTTTAATCGTAAGTAACTGATTAACCGTACGCAGCGGAAAAACAAAATTAAATCGGTAAATCAATTATCTTTTTGCCAAGATCCATGTATAGATTACAATGTTTACATGTTATTTAAACAAAAACAGTATAACGAAATCCATACTAGGATTTAGAATACTTAGAACTTTTGGAGGCTCTTTCAAGGCTTTGATTTTGCTTATCGATTCAAGAACAGAATCGCATGAACGTTGATCCACACGAAGACAAGACAACTCACAATTGATTTAATTTGCTAGATTAAATCAATGCAATAAGGTTTAATGATGTGTAGAATTTTTCAAAGAAATTCTCTCTTTTCTCTCTAGTGAAAACGTGAGGGAGGATAGGGTTTTTAATTGAGTGAAATTATCATTTGTTTTAATTTTAAGTTGCAGTTATATAGTGCAATAATTAAAACCTTATTCCACTTAGGAATAGTCATGGTCTCCAACCCTAATCCACCCTTGCAACCAAACACCCCTTTAATGGTATTTTAAATTTAATTAATCATTATTATTATTAAAATCAATTAATATATTAAAATATATTAACATTTAATTAATAATAATCCATTTAAATATATGCACACACATATATTTAAATATAATTTCACTAATTTTAATTTCAATGTTAAAATTGAATACAGGCAACAACATCAGCAAATTTAATTGCACTGTGAAAAGACGAAAATACCCTTTTTGTCTTAAAAGACGAAAATACCCCTTTCACACATTAATCCTTAAACGGTCTCCTTATGTGTGTGACCCGTAAACTTCTTATCATATCGGTAGTGAGTAGTCTCACAATTGACACCAATCAATCGTCTCACTAAATACAAACTAAGATTGGTCCCTAGCAAGACATCATGACCACTCGATAGATTCAGATTCAGCGAAATAGCTAGCTATCAACGATATGGTTACTGTACAATCAAATTCTTTCATCATTCATTATCCCATCAAGGATGAGGCACATAAATAGTGTCAACCTCAGATATCCTTGTATTTGGTTAATGGACCAATGATCTGAATAATAAATTGGATTGAGCAACAACTCAATCCCACTGTGGCCACAGATTTAGTGTCATTTTCATTTACTAAATTGCAAAGTGAGATAACATCTCCCATACCCGGAAGTGATGAATCCTTTATCGATCCACCATAGTCTTGATACACACCTCGACGTAGCAAATCACTACCGTTATAACAGTCCTGAATAGAACTACGTTGGGTTAGTGTCAAACTACACCAATCGGTGCACAAGGCGCTTCGGTGATCTCAAGTCTAAGGATCACATGCCCCACCATCCGTTAGAGGATTTATGTCATAGACACTAGGGTTTACCATCCATATGGAATCCTCTAGTAGGTTTGTCTAGTGAACTTGCCTACAACAAGCACCCATGTATTGCACCAGGTTGTCAACAAACAACCTTAACAAGTGAGATCAGTCACTGTCTCTTGACAGGGTTGTTCAACACTATGATAATCTTACCGTATTATTTGTGTCCTTGGGTCAAAATAATACTAAGGCTACGAACCTTTCTAGAATGGCTACCATATGTGTCATAGGGTTCTCACTATCAAGATTTGAAATACTTGATACGCTCGTCACGGTTTTACCATCCTAAGGACATATATCAATACATATAACTATGATTTACACGATATAGTAGAAAATGTATTTTATTGATAAATAAACATTATTACAAAGAGTCAATATTACAATAACTGATTGACTTTAGGGCACCTACTTTAATAGTAATTCCCCTTTGAAACAAAAAGAGGTTAGACATCTAATCTCATCTTAAAAAATTGTACTTTGTGTTATTTTGGAAAGTAGAGTTCAAGAACCAAATTTTGAGGTGACGAAGTCCTTGACATTTGGGGGATAAGATGTTGTTCATAACTATGTGTGATGCCCTAATGGGAGGATTTTTGTTGCTTGGGACCCTGACTTGGTGAGATTTGAAATCATTCAAACTATGACTCAAGCCATCCATGGTAAGGTTTTTATTTTGGATTCTAATTCCTTATTTCTTTGCTTCTTTGTCTATGGTTCTAATGGTCCGCTGGGAAGGAAAAAATTATGGAGAGATTTGATGGGTAGAGCTCTAGATTTTGAGGAAATGCCATGGGTGATTTTGAGGAAATTATGATTTCAATGCGATGAGATTTGGACATGAGAAGATAGAGGGTCCTTGTCAATGGAGTAATTATGTTTCGGACTTGAACAATTTGTGTAATGAGGCTAGGCTTGAGGACCTTCGGTTTATGGGTAACTTTTTCATTTTGAGTAATATGAGAGATGGGGAACATAGAATTACTACTAAGATTGATCAGGTCCTTATGAATGAAAAGTGGGGAGGTGTGTTTGGTAGCTCCTTAGCTTTTTCTTATACCCCCAAGCATTTTGAATCATTCTCCTTGTATTGTTGACTGTGGAGGTAGTTCTTCCCCTAGGAAAATCTCATTTTGGTTTTTCAATTTTTGGGCTCACCATGAAAGTTTCATCAGCATTGTTAGTGAGGCTTGGGAAGAAGAGGTTAGGGGCAGCCTGATGTATCAATTGGTTACTAAATTGAAAAGAGTTAAAGAACTACTAGAAGCATTTAACAAGAGAGAGTTTGGGAATATTACGATTAGGGTTATTGAAGCTAGAGAGGATCTCTTAAAGGTCCAACATGATCTTGCTTCTAATCCTCTTGAAGAGAGCCTTATTCTTGAGGAACAAGACAAAGCTTTTATTTTTAAGACCTTAAGTTGAGCCGATGAGTCTTTTGCGAGGCAAAAATCTAGAGTGCAATGGCTTAGAGAGGGTGACCAAAATACAAACTATTTCTTCAAGTGTGTGAATGGCCAAAAGAATAGAAATAGAATCACCAAGCTTAAGTGTGACAATAGCATGGTTATTAAAGATCCTTTGAGCATTAAGGAGGAAATAGTTAGCCACTTTAAAAGAGTGTTTGAGGAGCCTAGGGGTGTAAGAGATTTTCGAGGTTTAGAGAAACTTATTGAACTTTGCATCACAAATGATATGGCCAATGGAATGGTGACCGAAGTGACGGATGAAGAAATCAAGAACACTTTGTTTTCTTCGGGTAATAACAAAGCTCTTGGACCGGATGGCTTTGGTGCATATTTCTTCAAGAAATATTGGGATGTGGTTGGAAAGGATGTAATTATGGCTATTAAAGATTTCTTCCAAGAGGGCAATCTTCTTAGGGAGGTAAATTGTACTTCTATTGCCCTTATTCTCAAGGGTGATAATGCTTCTTTGTGTAAGGACTATCGGCCCATTTCTTATTGCAACTTATTTTATAAATGCATCACCAAAATTGTTGCAAATAGAATAAAAAGTGCACTACCTCTCTTCATTGACTTGGCACAAGCGGCCTTTGTTGGTGATAGAAGAATAGGAGATAATATCCTCATATACAAAGAGCTGGTGCACAATTACAATCGAGCTTTGGCCAAGGAAAAAAGACGTTCCTTGAAAGTAGATTTAATGAAGGCCTATGACTTAATTGGGAGTTTCTCTTACAAGTCCTAAAGAATTTTGGATTCCTAAGGATACTAGTCAATTGGATTTCCAAGTGCATCACTACTCCTAAGTTCTTGGTGCAAGGTTGAGACAAGGGGATCCCTTATCCCCTTACTTCTTTGTTATTGCTATAGAGGTTCTCTCTCGGCTCTTAAATAGAGTGGCGGCTAATCCGAACTTTAGTTTACATTGGAGATGCAAGAAAATGAGGTTGACTCATCTTTGTTTAGTGGATGATCTCATGCTTTTCTGTAAAGCCGAAGGTACTTCTCTATCTCTCCTTAAGAATGCTTTGCTTACTTTTGAAAGCTAGTCGGGCTTGAGTGCAAACCCTGATAAGAGCAATGTCTTCCTTTCCTGTGTAAGTGGTAACGAAAAGATGGAGCTCTTAAGTTTGATAGGTTTTCCCAAGGGTAGTCTCCCAATCAAATACTTAGGTGTCCCTCTTATTACCTCTAAGTTAACCTTTGGGGATTGTCGATCTCTCTTGGATAAAATCTTGGCTCGGGTTTGTTAGAGTAGATGCCCTAGAGCCAATCAATTATTGTAGAATTGACTCTTTGTAATAATGTTCATTGATCAATAAAAGACATTTTATTCCATATCGCATAAATCATTATTATTGCAATATGTATTGATATATGTCCTTAGAATGGTAGAACCGTAACGAGGGTATCAAGTGTTTCAAATCTTGATAGTAAGAACCCTATGAGCACATATGGTGGCCATTCTAGAAACGTCCGTAGCCCCAGTATTATTCTAAAGTAAGGGCACAGATAATACGGTAAGACTATTATAGTGTTGAATGACCCTGTCGAAAGGTAGTGACTGATCTCACTTGTCAAGGTTGTTTGGTGACAACCTGGTGCAACACATGGGTGCTTGCTGTAGGCGATTACACCGCAGCAAGTTCACTGGACTGACCCACCAGAGGATTCCATATGGATGGTAACCCTATTGTCTATGGAACAAATCCTCTAACAAATGGTGGTGTATGTGATCCTTAGACTTGAGATCAGCGGAGTGCCTTGTGCACCGATTGGTGTAGTTTGACACTAGCCTAACATAGTTCTTTTCAGAGCTGTCAATACGGTGGTGATTGGCTGCATCAAGGAGTGTATCAAGACTATAATGGATTGACAAATGATTCATCACTCCCGGGTACGGGAGAAAGTTATCTCACGGCGTAATTCAACATATGGCAATGACACTAAAACTGTGGCCATAGTAGGATTGAGTTGTTGCTCTATCCAGTTTATAATACGGGTCATTGGTCTAGAAATTGAATACATAATATCAAGAGTAACCGAAGGTTGACACTATTTATATGCCTTCGTCTCGTCGAGATAACGTATGATGAAAGGATCGAATTGCACGATAACCATATCGTTGACAGGTAGCTACTTTGCTGAATCCGAATCTATCGGGTGGCCATGATGCCTTGCTAGGGGCCAATCTTGGTCTGTGTATTAGTGAGACGATTAATTGGTGTTAATCGCNATGAGAAAAGTCCAAAATGTATGATATGTTTTATGAACTTGTTATGTCAAAGAATGAAGGTCATGTTTTGTAGGTAGGTAAAGTCCTAAGTAATTTACTTGTATAATGAACCTTAATAGTTTATAAATGGCCATATTCCTTACTGAGCGATTAGCGCTCACCCCACGAAATGTTTTAAAATGTTTTGCAGGTACGGATTAAGGCATGAAGCTGGGAGAGGATTCCAAGGGACGCTATGAGCATGAGGGGATGCTTTAATGATGACTATTGAATGGTTTTGCTAATATTTAGTGTAGTAATTATGTTCATATTTCATAATGTAGTAATTATGTCCATGTTCTATAATGGAGTAAATATGTTGTATTAATAAAGGAAATCAAATTGCTAGTAAATTTTATAAAAGTGTGTATGTTTTAGTAAGTATTACTATGGATTTCATAATTTACTCCAAGAAAGAAAACTATATTTTTTTTTTTTTAAATTTACAATGAACTTATTATAATTAAGAAAAAAAAAATTAAACACATATATCTATATATATGTTTTAAACTACAAGTTTATCCTTTAAATAGGATTTTAAAATAAACTTCTTTCCTAGGCGTGCGTTTTCTAGGTTCTCAATGGCCAAGGGATACTTAGGAAATACCCGGCTAGGGAAGGGTTTTACAGGGGCCTTCCTAGAACCATCTTCAAAGACACCCATTCCACTCCTGGCGTTTTTGATGACCTTGTGATCAGGTGAGATGTTGTTCTTTCAATGAGAGACTTATTGACTTGCTCGTTGTTGTTGTGAAGACTTTGCTGCGGAGTATCCTCACTCTCTTTGTTTTCTTTGCACGGAGTCTTCCTTGTGTCTCATTGTATGTGTTTTTTTGGAGCCAAATCTAAGGGATGGTCTTGAGGTTGGTGTTTTGTTGTTGATTTCTTAACTAGATTCTTTCTCTTGGGTCTAATCTCCCATGTTAGTTTAGATAGGATCCCAAGAGAATTGTGTAGCGTCAAGCTTAGGCATTTGTTTATTTTTTGCACCCTACGCGGGGGATGTCCCAATGTAGGTTGGCCACCTTTTTGTAGGCCTTTGTAAATCCTTCTTCCTTTTTAATACAATTTACTTATTTAGCAATAATAATAATAATAATAATAATAATAATACATTAAACAATTTTCTGTTAATTTAAGGATAGGAATCTGGAATTTATGAAACATGGGTGGGAACTTGGAGATTCGCGAAACCTTGGGTGGGAACATGTCTTTTACTCTTTCATTATCACCCATGCCTCTGACCTCAAAGGGTTTATCAGTTTGAAACAAACCTTAGAGGGTATAACGTAATTATCCCTTTCTTTTTGGAAGACTAGTATTATTAAATACCAATAATATTAGGATGAGGTTTCAAGGATATCTTTTGAGATTACTGATATTATTGAATACAAAAGTATAAAAGTAACAATTGCGATGAAAATGTAATATTGTAAATAGTTTAGTAGAATAAATTATGGTATATTTGTCATACTTTTTAATCCTTGTATGACTAACCCTCTCACTTTATCTTTCTTAGAAAATTATTTCATCTCTCATAGAGTATAACTTTAAAGTATTCTACTTTATTTGCGAAACATTTTTCTATAATCATATAATTAGAATTTTTTTTTTGATGTTAAAAAAAAAAAAAAAGAGTAAAATTTATTATGTCCTCTAAATTTGGTGCATGATTTGTTTTCTGTTAATAAAAACTTCTTGTATTATTAATGTTTGATTGCTTTTTCAAAACAAAAAATATATAATAGTATATTGTTTTAAAAAAAATTCAGACCTCCAATATAAATTATTTGTTTTTCCCTTAATTATCAAACTATTTATAAATAAAAAAATCATTGCAGTTATATTAATATATCGTGAAATTTTATAATATTATTAATTTTTAAATAACTATTTAAATATTTTCACGTAGCGAAAAAGAAAATACTTAAAATTATTAAAGGAATCCCAAGGTTTAACCCCCTCAAGTATTAGTACTAAGTACTAACTGAGAACCCCTTCTCGTCAGTAATCTTTCGTTGGTTTAACAGAATGAGGGTGAAGACCTTAATACCCTCATTCTGTCATGCCTAACAGCTTCCCAAACTAACCATCATTTCAATCTTTTTTCTCACAAAAACTAACTTCCAATGTTCATCAAACTTTTCTAATCCAAACTATCTTCATCTACTTTCTTGTACTTTCCCACACACCAAACAAAGTTTGTCATCAAATATTGACCCAAATTTGATATTAAAATTTCATCCGTACTTTCATCAAATCCCTCACCCAAAACCAAATTCTTTCTTTTTCTTTTACCAACAAATAAATCATCAAATATAAAACAGAATATATTTAACTTAAAATTAAAAAAAAATAAAGAAGCTCAATAGTCGGCACTGGGCAGGCAACTCTTGGTGGCCAAATCTGGTTGTTGAGAGCTAACCATCGCTTGTACCTTTTTCTTCATGTTGTGAGAAGAGGAAGGAGGAGAAGAAAAGGGGATGAGAAAGGGAGATAAGGAGAGAACGAGGAGAATATAGGGATGGTAAAATTTCCCGTGGGGACGGCCCCTCTGACCCCCGCGGCCCTCGTCCTGTTCAGTCGGAGATTAAGTGCAAAAATTGGGGATGGGGATGATTTTTCATCCCTGCATTGATTTAAGGCCGGAGATGGGGATTTTTTCTAATCCAAAACCCGGCGCAAGATTTAAAAATTAAATAAATAAAATATATTTTTTTTAAAATTGCAAAGCAAAATAAATAATTTTCTATTTTAATATCATTTATAGAATATGTATTTTATTGAGTAATGTTACAGTCATCGGGAGTAATACACCGAATAACGTGGCTCAATCTTGACTATCGATTAATATTAAGTTATAATTAATCGACGATCAAGATTGCGTCACGTCATTCGGTGCACAGATTCAGTGTACTACTCCCGATGTCTATTATTTTCCGTATTTTATATAATCTACCTATTATAGTTAAGGAATACATTTTTGGATATTACATATAATAATTAAGATATAATCATATTAAGTTTTGAGGAAATACTTTTTTAGATTTGAGGACTTTTGAAAAGTAAATAAATAGTCTTTGATATTGGTTTTTTTTTTTCTTAATTCAAAACTTAATTGAATATATAATCTTTCGTAAGAGATAATCATTCTCTTCGTATTACATTAATTTTCTATAGCTTCGTAAGAGATAATCATTCTCTTCGTATTACATTAATTTTCTATAGCTTGCATGTTAAAGAAAAAGAAAAAGAAAAGTATGTGGTTAGTACTAAGATCACTAATGTTTCCTTTCTATAAATTCTTTTAATAATTGTTTTACTAATTGCTGATTTATTATTATTATTTTTCAATTAGTACAAGTGACAATGTGGCACAATAAAGTTTATAGTTAAATTAAAAAGAATTAAAATTTCCAAACATTCAATCATTGAAATTTAATTCTTTTAAATTTTGGATCAAGTCCAGGTGAGAATTGAGAACAAGGATTACTTTTTCTTTACTGGGAACCCTCGGCCTAATCCCCACTTAATAAGAGTCGGGATCAGGCTAGGAACGGGGTTTGTCTATCTTTTTTGAGGATAGGGGCAAGGATGGGGTTGAGAATCCCTTGCCGGTTGCTATCCCTAGGAGGAGGAGAAAAGAGAAATTTTAATATTTATAACATTTAATTACTTCTTAACCCTTATTTATGTAAAAACTAATAAAAAAGGACTACTGGTAGGGTGTTCTTAGTTAATACTGATATTTGAGGGGGTTAATGATATATTTAAATCTGGAGGACTCAAAAATAATTATCCGTTGTTTATAACTTTGAAAACTTAGACACCAGTGTAGATACGATAGTATACAATTTCCCTTCATTCCCAGGCAAAGAGTGTAACTAAAGTTATAGTAGCATTAGCATAAAACCTTTTAACAAAAATAAATTATCAAACCACATGCAATCAAATGATTTTAACATCTTATTATTACAATCATCTTCTACATCGCACACCACATATACTGTTCTATTAAAAAATTAAACCCTAATAATTAACAATAATGGAAATTTAGATTATTAGTAGGACCCTTAACTGGGCATAATACTTGCCTTTGATTTTGTAATGAAATTGTTATTTTTTTAATTGCCATGATGAACGGAGCGTATTCAGATTTAAGAGTACATACTTTTACCATACGATTTGCTTCTATATAAACCACTCTTCACCCTCTGTAAACTCATAAAAGAACATTTTCATATTTTAATGCAGTGATATTCCTGTAGAGGAAGAAGAAATGTCTCCGAAACTTGCCCTTTTGTTGGTTACTTTGTCACTTCATCACTATGCTCATATCACCACAGCTTCTGACCCAGATCCCATTCAAGATTTCTGCATACCAAACCCTGAATTTGGTGTAACAAAATTAGCTCATCTCACTATTCTCCCATGCAAAAATTCCTCTGAAGCGACCACGGATGACTTCGTATTTTCTGGCTTAAAGTCGGCTGGAAACTTCTCTGAATCTGGCCTTGCAACCATTCCTGTCAACCCAATAGTTTTTCCAGGGCTCAACACACTAGGCATGTCATTTGTGCGAGCTGATCTTAAAGCTGGTGCTGTGAATCCCCCACATTTTCATCCGAGAGCTACTGAAATCTCGTATGTGGTGCAAGGAAGTGTTTATTCAGGCTTTGTTGATTCCAGCAATCGAGTTTTTGCAAGAGTGATTGAGCAAGGAGAGGTCATGGTGTTCCCTCGAGGTCTAGTGCACTTCCAGATGAACGTTGGTGACAAGCCTGCAACAGTATTTGGAAGTTTTAATGGCCAAAATCCGGGAAGTCAGAAAATCCCATCTGCCATTTTTGGGTCTGGGATCCAAGCAGAGCTACTGGAGAAGGCTTTTGGCTTGACTCCGAAGCAGATCGGAACAATGAAGAGAAAATTTGATCCAAAACGGTGAGATGAAGAGGAAGCAGAGCTGCAGAAGGTCATTATGTTTTGTTGCTTGAATATTAAGATTAAGGTGTGAGTTTTAGATTCTATGAAGGTGGAATATCAATATGTATGAAATCAATCAGTTTATTCAGTTATTATAATTTAATGTCTTCAAAATACCTTGAAAGTGCTGAAATTAAGTGAATAAACATAGTTCAATCTCAGAGACGTTGCACCCAAAGGCCAAAATATTAGAAGAAAAGGAAAATTAGTGCCAGTAACTGCAGTTAAAAATATGGTCATTGACACTAACTTGAAGAAAATTACGTGGGTTTGATGATGATATTAGCGACAACACAAAAGGGTGCGGCCAGGTGTGCCTTTACTTTAATTTAAAGGCAAGTGGCAAACCCACAATAATCATGACCAAGGGCATGCTTTGTTTGCCCTGTCTTTCTCACTCCGTTTGCACCAAATCTAGGGCGAATAACAACGAAATTTCAATGGTTTATCTATTTCAATTGGTGGTTAAATTTTGAAGGAAGCCAAAAATAATTATATTTACTATTACCAAATCAATAACTCTTCAAATTTGATGCATTAAAATAGCTGAATAGCTGAAAAGTATATAATTTCTTAACTTTGTGTAGTAAATAGGCCAAAAGTCATTTGGATCCAACAGTTCAAAAGAAATCAAATAAACTTTTCAAAATTTTAACCTTCAAGTCACATCTGCTTTCTTACAAACAATAACCAATTACAAAAACATAAATTCCAAGTACAAAATTTATCGTACATATCAAAACAAGGAACTAAGCCTTTGAATCTCCAACTTCAAGCAAGAGAAACTGCATAGATAAGCATACCTGAGTTAGGCTATTTATCTCCAGTTAAAAGTGTCTTTATTATGATGTTGGACATTCCATCAGCATGTGGAAACAAGTGCCCAGCACCCAGCAGCTCGTGGTAGTGTACCCAAGGGAGTCGCTGGGCAATATAGCATTGCAGTGTGACAGGTACCATACGATCTTCATCTCCATGCCACAAGTGTACAGAACCTTCACCATTTGGGAATGGATTTTCTAAGTCCATAGGGTCAAAATCCCAGGTTCCAAATCCAAAGTTGATGTCATGATGAAGGGACACATACTCTCCTTGCTGTCTTACTTGTGTCTGATGAAACCACAAATAGAACATAACTACAAAGCTATTCATATTACTCAAATCGCCGGATACTACTGAATAATAATTCAGGTATAAAAATAAAAATAAAATAAATAAATAAATCTACTAACTCATATGAGAAAGAAAGATTTGCCTCAGTATTATCTTTTAAAAAGAGAAAGAAAGATTTGCCTCAGTATTATCTTTTAAAAAGAGAAAGTGTTTAATAGTTTCCATAAAGAAGTTGAACTGAATCATGCTTTGTAAGATTAACTTTAATAGTTCTAGTTTCTTAATTGTAGCTATGGTATTATCTTCCACATCAAATAAGAACAATAAGGCATTAATATTCAGTAGAGAGAGATAAATACCGCATAATCCTTTCTCGCAGAAAGCTTAGGCAGAATTTCAATGTCTTGAGGTGAAAGAATTTCAGTACTGTGAGATATAACAGAAGAAGCAGGGAAAAACTTTTGAGTGTTCCACCAGTAAGTAAGCCAGGGAGCGTAATGAGCAACACGAAGTGTCCATTGGTCTTGGGGTAGCTGTTGGTAGTAGGCTTCTTTAGATAAGTTTCCAGGAAAACCAGGCCACCAATAGTTAATAACTGGAGCTAATAGCACAGCCCCTGCTAACCTGTGACATTACAAATATTACTCACATGAGAAAAGATGGGAAAAGAAATGACAAACACAACACATACGGGCTTTTATTCATATTCTCTTTCTTGCATCCATAAATATAGCTCAACTAAAAAATACCTGTGAGGAATGTACTTCAGGCAGCTCCAAACTACCTCTCCACCCATGGAAAATCCAATCACATAAAATTTAGATCCTAGCCCCAGTTGATCAGCGAGCTCCTCTATATCCCAAGCCATACTTTTGACTGTTTGCTTTAAATTAGGATCACTTTCTCCATAGCCTGGTCTGTCAAAGGACACCATATAGATCCCAAAATCTTCAATGATTTCCTGGAAGAGCCCACCACAAAGTCAATTGATACTGGCTTTTAGCATTTCAAAAATTGAGGCTTAAGATATAAATGCAAAAATAAGTAACCCATAAAAACGTACCGGGTATAGAGTCTTGGCAACAACAGCATCATGTCGACAAGAATCAAATCCATGAATATACACAAACTTATGCGTGGCTTTATCTTTTTGGACACCATGCTCTTGGTATGCCAAATATCTTCCATCTCTAAGTTTTATTCTAGGTGCTGTTACAGAAGGGCCGTCAGGAGATCCAATTGCCTTGGGAGGAGGAGGTTGAATTGCCTGATAAGCCCATGCCAAAATCCCAACGAAGAAGACCAATAGTGTTGTCTTAAAAATCCCTAAATTGGGAGAAAAACCTTTAGCAATTATATACTAGTGCTTAGAGGCAATAAGCACTAAAGAACTTGTCAGCTTAAAGTTTGGGGCATTGATTTTCTTTTTATAGGAAAAAGAAAAGTATATGCTACTATAAAAAGAAAGTGTAAATAGCAATGCCAGAAAGTTAAATAAGATAACAGCTCCAAAACATATAGAGGGGTTTCGGCTATGAGGTGTAAGAAATTAATTTTATCTATGAAATGTACACAACCAAAGTCTACCAAAAGTTGTTTTTATTTCATTACACTATTAGTACTTGCTTTTACTATTAATTGGACTCTTCACTACACATACAAACATAAATCTACTTAAAATATGCAAAAAGGAAAATGCACTATGGTTCCAATCGTTGCAATATACTAGGCATTGTAAGGATTGAGCAAGTTTTTTATAGCACAGACGAATCAACCAATACATCAATGAGAGGAATATGATTCAATCTCAAGCTTTGGAATGATTTAGAGAGTTTTGGCATGAATGGGCTCAAACCAAGACTCCAAAATGATGGAGCTTAAATCTACCCTTTGCAATCTGTGGCAGGATTCAAGATTAAACCCACATGCACTCTAAAATACATGGCATCATCCAGCAGGTAATTACTGAAAATGATTGATTTAAACACAAGCTACATCTCAATCCACTTAATTTCTTGCATTTGATTGGTTAAAGTACATCACCAAGGCCTCTCATTGGTGGAAAGACCACTTCCTCCACACTATAGGCACTACCTTGTTCATCACTCAAAAGCAACTATCGGCTCATTTAACACTCATAAAAAAATTTAAAAAAAAAAAAAAGAAAGAATTCCTTTCTACTTTCTCTAAGTAAAAATTTCAGTTCTAACTGGCATATTTCCATACATATATAGCAGAACTAAAAAACAAGTAATTTGTTTCATCATCTTTCTGAATTTAACAAGGATCACTCCCTCGCATATACTACACTTGTCAAACACACTTTCGTCCAAATAATGGCATCAAGCTACATTCTTTCCGAGTTCCCTATTATTTTCCAGTGCTCATACATAATCCCTCTCCAATATTATGACATTATTCTTATACATGGCATCTCTTTCAGCTCAACCAAAGAACCTTTCGACTCAGAAGGTAAAGTTGATTATTTTAGAACCGATTCAAGAAATTGCATACACTTATTAGTTAAAGCAATGTACATGCTTCCCCCAACATGGTTTTTCTATTACATTAAGTTAAGATGAAAATCCTAATGGTAGCCCCATGGCAAACAGTACATCTTTGTATACACTATCCCAGAGCTTATAAACCATAACTGAATCAACGGCCCATCAATCAGCTTGAACAAATAAATGCATTGTTTGTTTAATTCACAGCAAACTACTGGCATGACTTCAAATTAAGGCAACTGGCTCGAAACCTAAGATTAAAATCAAAATCAGAAAGCATTTATTTCCATCAAAATGATTTTGATTCCACAAAAATCTTGGAAAATGTTGAAATAAACATGAATATAGATCAAACTGAATAAGAGAAAAGAAGATTCTACCTGAAGGAAGCTTAAAAGAAGAGCTTTGCTTAGCTCGTCTGGTATGAGCTCGGGCTGATGCTGCCGATATCTTCCTGTTGACCCCTGCTGCCATTTCCCGAAATGCCCTTCTATTGCAACTCAAGATCTGTTTGTCTTCGTGCATCGATTTGTGATTTGTGAAGGTAAAAGACGACCTTTTAAGTCTGGTCTGTCACTCTGGCATTTGCTCAGCCTTTCCCGTCGATTAACTCTTAATTTATTATAAATCTAAATTACTATAAAGCCCTTTTTTGCATTAAAATCGTGGACAACAATCCGTTTCAAGGGAATGAATTTGTAATAATACTAATTAAATTAATTTGTATTTAAAGTCTTTGGTTTTTTGCCTAAATGGATGTTTTAATTTCACTTTTGTTTTGAAAATTTTTTATTAAATATTTTAGATTTAAAAAGAAAAAAAGTTTTATATACTCTTGGGCAAAGGATATTGCATTAAGATAACTAATTTTAGTTTACGTTAGATATTTATTTTACAGTAATGTTAGATTTACCGACTCAACCGACCTAATTATCCAAATCTCAAAATTCGACTCAATTCACATAATTCAGTATGTCAAAGTCGATAGTTGGGTCGATTAGTCTAACATTACTATTTATTTTATGGGTTTCCAAAACAAGTCACCATCATTTTAGCGCTTGTTCGTTTACGTTTTTTACTCTCCATTTTCATTTGGTTGTTGTTCGTTTCCGTTTTACGTGAAATGAGAGAAAAACCTTCGGAAGTAAGACAATGTGGGGCCTTTATCTAATATAATGGATTAAATTTTTAAATAAATAATCATTTATTCTCTTTTTTCTTTTCTCTTTAAAACATTTTTTTTTTTATATTTTAAGTCATATTTTTAAACACAAAACTGAATATGAAATTCAATAATTGACATATTTAAAACAAGTTGTTCCAACAACAAAATAAGTGGTCTTTTTAAAGTGATTTTTAGATAAAATAATTAAACATGTTTTCATTTTTCACATTTTCTAATCATTTTCAATATTCTAAAAAAAAAAACATAAAACAAAAACACAAAATTCACAAATGAAAGACAAAATTCAAATACTCTAGACTTGGAGAATACCCTTTTTATGATATCCAAGAGTTTCATTAAAAGTTACCTTTGTTTTGGCAAAACAATTCTTAAGGGGTGTGTTCTTTTGTGAATTTTGTGTATAAATTTTCTACATTTTTGAAATATTTAAAATAATTAAAAAGGCAAAAAATAAAAAAGCGTTCAACATGTTTTACTGAAAATTATATTTTAAAATGTGAAAAATAAAAATATGTTTGTTTGAAAGTGCAAAAAAATAAAAACAAAATAAAAGATACGAAATTCATCACTTCCACAATTGATAAAACCCTTCAAATTATTACTTATTTTGTTCTTCCCGGAGAGCTTGTCTCAAATATATCCATAGTTAGGTTTTCATTGGAAATTTTATATTATAAATTTTGATTTGAAATGAAAGTTTTTTGTTTTAAAAGAGACAAAGAAAAATATAAAAAAAGAACATATTTTTTATTTAAATATTTATTTTATATATAAAATTTGAGACCCACGGTCTCTCTTTTCATTCCTTTTCTCTTGTTTTCACGGCTAAAATCTATAGAGATCATAAATGAACAGATTTTTTGGATTTTTTTTTTCATTTTTGCAGAAAAAGAAAACGAAAATGATATTTTAAATATTGGAATAAATACTTAAACTCTTTATCACGTCAATTATCAAGTTTTTAAGTATTTTTAGAATTAATCCCAAAGTTAAATTCTTTCTATATTATTTTATTCTTGTATTTCAATAAAACAATAATTTTATGCCTTTAATTATCTTTTAAAATGATATTTTTTATATAGGTTTTTTATTTATTTATTTGTTTTATCTCAATCCCTTTGAGGTTCAATAAATTAAAAAAGTTCTCTAAAGATTTTAGAAATAATATGAACTTTCTTCTTCTTGTCCTTAATGAGCTATTAGTGTATTGTTAGAATTTATAATATGATTAGTAAAGGTCCGCGCGTTGCATGGGTTGCTTATGAAATTAGTTTTAACACCACGTTTGTTTGAATAATTGGAATTTAAATGGTGGATTTTTAAAGATAATAACAATGGTTCGACATATTACACTGGTTCCGAATAATACAAATTGATAATTCTACAATAAGGTTTGAAATCAAATAGACATTTTATCTTTTACAGTTGTAGTGAAACCTATATTCGAGAAAGACTTATTACATTAATATATTATGAAGTATGGTTTAGCATAACTACAAAAGTAAGAATACATAATAGTAATATATAAATTATAGTTCAGCAATGGTTTAACATAATTATTCACTCAAATTTATGGTTCGGCATCTGGCATATCAGAAATCGGTAATTGAGAAATATGTGGATTGACAGTCAAACTGTGAACTAACGGATCTATTATAGCCATAGATAAATTAAATTTCAATACATGGTTTATTACAATTCTATAGAAAAATAATAGTTAACTTTAACTAATTTTTTCATATATTGGTAAAACTTATGAAAATAAGAGAACCTATCCAATATGTTTTACTCATATTGATGATTCTTCAAAATTTTATTGAAATCAAACAAGCATTTTATCTTTTACAATTATAGTGAAACCTATGTTCGGCAAAGGCTTATTACAGTGATTCATTGTAAATTATGGTTCGATTGATGGCTTGCTACAATTCTATATTAATGAAACTCCATGGTTTGGCGTGTGCATTCGCCTAACATAAACATTAGACAAAATATTGAATAATGGTTCAGCATTGTTTGGCTATTGACTTCTTAAAATTCAACAACCAAAATAATGAGTCGCGTGATTTTATGAGTCTACTTTTTTGTTGATGTTGGATTTTGACACTAACTATTCGCATGTGTAAAGCGCTAAGGTGACTTAGGAATTACACGTGAACTAAAAATGAAAATAAATAAAATGGAAGATGATTTTTAAAGTGGTTTGGATGCTCTCAACAAATCTTACGTCCATTGCTTTTTATAAATGGGAGATTACAACCAGGTCGCGTATAGTGATCAGAGAATAGAAATACAGAGAGCGAGATTGAGTGTTTATGTTATCAGGATCCGAATCCGAATTCAAATTCAAAAAATGAGAGGGGAGCTCTCTATTTATAGTAAGAGATTTCTGGGTAATGATTATAAGTCTGCCAGCGGGCAGGTGCCATACAGCTCTTACCCTACTTCCTATTGGCTGGTTGCACGGAGATATCATTAAATCGCGTAGGGCTTGGGCAAGTGGGTGACTCCCAACCCTTCACCAGCCAGACCTTTACCTACTAAGTTGATGGCAGCCTTACTTCTCCTGTCCTTGGACGACATGGCAGCGCCTGGGCAACACAACGCCCTCCTAAACTCTGATTGGTCCTTGCTAACGTAAGCTCGTGTCAGCCCTGATTTCTTAGGCATAACAGAAGCCCCCCAGTTCTTAAGGTTCAAGGCTTGAACTTTGAGAACTTCATGATTATGCCATGATTTGACTTGTCTTGAGGATCGCTTACTTGAATTGCAAGTAGAGAACGACTGAAATAACATAAGGTTCACAGTCTAACTCAACTAGCAAACTGAGTGGAGGTCGCGATGTGGATCTTAGAGAATTGCACAAGCGACCTGAGGTGATCATCCCCTAAAGGTTTAGTGACCTAGGGTCAGATCTTGCTCAGTGCTATACCAACGTGCTTTGAACTTTACCCATTGCTCGCGACCTAAAAACACTTAGAATATTTTCGCTGAAAATCAGAAGTCACTTCGCTTTGAGCTCAATACACGGAGAAGAGTGTTTTATTCGGACGACCTCTTCAGATGTTATCCATTGCGCTTGATAGCTGGCCTGGTCAATAAAGTAAGATTTATCTGACATAAGTATGTTTGTGCAATAAGTGTCAACCATGAGCATTAAATGCAAGCCATGTTGAAACGACATTCTCTTTTAAAGCATTAAATGCGGACGAGGGCGCATTCAATGTGGTAAAGATAACCACGCTGACGTTTGGTGTCTCCAACGGAGGGAAACGTCAATTGATCTCCAAGGAGCATGAAGATTACTCTTCACGAGGATTGGCGACACGTGGTCGCATCCAATAGCTAGGAACGCGTCCCACCCAAACGTCACTTGTAAAGGAAAGCCAAACGTCTCCTTCTTCCCTATAAAACCCTAATCTCATTTCATGATTTTCATAGAACTCAAATCTTCAGAGAGAAAAATAGAGTTTTTGCACTCAAGAAACCAGATCATCCTTCTTCCAGTTGATGCGCACCCGCCGTTACGACAGAATGTTTGTCTCCAGCAACCAAAAGGTAAGGAAAACTCTTCCTTTTCTTCTTTTCATTCCTATTAAAAACTCGGTTTTTTTCACAGTAATGGTGGGTTTGAATGCCTAGTAAACTTACACGATGCACATTCTAGGATAATGTTAAAAAAAGAACACTTTTAAGAATTAAAAACCTAGGGCACAGATCATTGGGAACTCATTCTCAAGGATGTTTAGGGTTTTTAGGGGCTAAGGAAGGAAAATTAGGGTTTCTTTTACTCTTTCAAGTCGTCATACGAAACACTGTGTACGGAGACTGAGTCACCTTTACGTGTCGTACCTTTTCAGACTTTAGGAGCAATGGATGAGCAACCGAAGGGACAAGCTCGCAGCACCCAGGTACCTCAGTAGGTCCCGCACAGGTGGTACTATCAGCAGATCCTGTGGATGAAATTCAGAAGGCGGTAGACCAGTTTGCGATCAACGTAAACATCTACCAGCACAGGTCACACACCGCTTAAGACCCTTTAGAAGGAATGGCTACGATCTTAGAAGTAATTTTTAAATGTGGGGTGACGATACCTTTTCACCCTTTCATCAGATCGATCCTTGACCACTTCGAGGTCACGCTATTTCAACTGACGCCCAATGCATAAATGATAGCAATTGCTATGTATATCGCATGCTGCGAACACAGATTTGGTGAGTTAACAGCGTTGGAACTAGCATGCGCTTACTACTTAAAGACAAGCAAGGACAAAGATTCTTTCTACCTCTCGAAGCAATCTACGATTGAAGGAGGGATATTTGGTTACCGCAGCAACGTTGGGGCTTATGACACCAAATATTTCTTCTTCGAGTACAATGGCATTTGTAAATTTAGGGAGCCGAGTAGGTTTTCCCTTTTATTTTCCAAACTGACTATTCTTTCCTTTAACTCTCTTTTGGTAGTTAAGACTAATGGAGTTTTTCCTTTTTCACAAAAAACAAGACGACCAAGTTATCGGCTTTAGCAGATTTTAGCCATATCAAGGTGTTTGGTCGTTTGTGAAAATCCCTCTATGGTCTAAAGCAAGCATCCCAACAATGGAATGAGAAATTTACAGCAGCTCTCATTGGCATAGGATTTGGTCAATTCAAACATGACTATGCATTGTTTACTTGGTATAGAGGTAAAACATTCATTGCTCTAATTATCTATATCGATGACATTTTCATTACACAAAATGATGAAGTATGCATCAAATCCTTAAAAAAAACATCTCAATAGACAATTCTGAATAAAAGATCTAGGAGAGCGAAAATATTTCCTAAGAATTGAAATTGCAAGATCTTCAGTAGGGATATCTCTCAGTCAACGAAAATACGTCTTATAACTTATTTCTAATTTCAGACTATCAGCATGCAAGCCAAGTGTGATTCCAGTAGAACAGAACACTAAGTTAACCAGTCAGGAATATGATAATAGGACATCACCTCAAAAAATGATCACCTTTGGAAGATCACACAAACTACCAAAGACTTGTTGGCTGACTGATTTATCTCATAAACACTTGACTAGACATTAGTTATGCAGTTCACATTCTTAGTCAGTTCATGCATAGACCTAAACGATCTCACATGGATGCAGCAATAAAGGAATTGAAATACTTGAAAGGGTGTCCTAGTCTGGGACTTCTCCTTCCTTGTAACAAAGACTTAGATATCACAGCACATTGTGATTCAAACTAGGCCACATGTCCGATGACAAGGAAATCACTCACTAGTTTCTGTATAAAGCTAAGGGGAGCACTTATTTCTTAGAAAACAAAGAAACAATCTACCGTATCCCTTTTTTCAACAACCGAATACAGAGCCATGGCAAAGACTACATGTGAGATCATTTGGATTTTAGGGTTGTTGGAAGATATTGAAGTACAAGTAAGGAACCTATTCTTTTATACTGTGATAACAAGACTACAAATGACATAGCGACAAATTCAATATTCCATGAAAAGACGAAACATATAGAAATTGACTGCCACTTTGTGAGGAGCAAAATACAAGCACGGGTAATTAAGACTTTACACATTCATATTTCAGAACAACCAGTGGATATTTTTAGAAAGCCATTATGCAGCAAACAACATTCATATCTAATTAGCAATCTTGGAGTTTTCGACATCTACAAACCACAAGCTTGAGGAAGAATGACAAAATATAAAGGGAATGCTATAGATTTCCCTTGATCTTAGCCTACTAAGATCAAGGAAATTATTTGTGTATTTATATGTAATTAAGTTTCAATCAATCAACATAGTTGCTATGATTGATCATTTGATTGAATGATTTACATGGATCCTTATTCCTAATTTACATTCACAAATTTGTATAAATTGCCCAATTGTATAGGCTATAATTTAATTCAATACAGGAAAAATATTTCTGCAATTCCCTTCTCTTTTCTCTTCTCAGGTATACTCTAGCAGCGTTGCTTTGCTTCTCTTGCTTTCTCCTCCAAACTCTGACAACATATATAATGTTAGAACAATTAGATAATTTCCGCATACATATACATACACATAGTTATAGTTAATGGGGTTGAACCTTTGACAAGGGAGGAAAATTACTTTATACATGAGCTAATTAGAACATAACTATCTCAGACGATACAATATATTAAAATATTAATAGGTTTACCTAGTACTTTTAATTTGTATATATGTTGTACATATCAAATTTAATTAGTTTGAATTTCCTATCTAAAGATACTCGATCATGGGCAACATAAATATTGAATGCATAAGTTCTAGAATCTAAACTGTATGAGAGTTTACTTTAATTAAGCCTTTATATTAAGAAAACTGAAAGAGTGGCAAGGGAAAAAGAAGAACATAGAAAAGCATGAGACAGGGGGTTGTGGTGCAGTTGACATTATAAATTAACATATAAAGTAGTTTAACTTCTGGTTATAGAAAATCCACCAACTTTCACCTTGCTAATCTTGGAAGTTGGAACCCCTCTGCACTGAAACTTATTGTGGTGGAGTTCCTTTATGCTCCCTCAGCCTCGCTTTTGAAAAATTCTCCGAAACTAGTAAAACTGCTTTTTCATGAAATCAAATGCGTTCAAGAAATTCTCATTTTGATTTCCCTAAATGCAAAAGATGAGTTTCCTTAAAAGATTATGAACGTTCCAGAGGAATTTCTTGAACATTTTTTATACATGTTTATATTAGAAATAATAAGACCACTTGCATAGAAAGGTCCCACTTCGATTATATATGATTCATTTGTGACCTTAATTAGAATTGGAAATATTCATTCCTTTATAAGATTAATACTAGTTAGCAAAGTGTACATCCAATCAAGAACCAAATTCCAGGGACCCATCAACAGAGAGAAGATTGTGATAGAATTTGAGGTGTGCTTGACTCCTCACTCAATAAGATCATATTAAATGGGAGGATTACCTCCTCTTGTAACCCAGTAGCCTTGAGCGTGTCGAGTCAGTGTGGACTCCAACATTTCTACTCACGGTCAAGCTCGTATGTTGGGTCATGCCTATTGATGGAGGTAGAGCCAACAATTACCTCAATTTCCACTCACGGTCACGCCCGTATGTTGGGTCATGCCTGTCAATGGAGGTAATTGTTGGGTCTAACTTCTCATCTGCTGATCAAGCACTCAACTCAACTGGGCCTAACTTTGATATTATGCTTGATTATCCGCTGATCAAACACTCAGCTCAATTGGGCCTAACTCTGATATCATGCTAGAATTTGAGGTGAGTCTGACTCCTCACTCAAGAAGGCCTTGTTGAATGAGAGAATTACCCCATCTTATAAAACAATAGGATTAAATATGCCTAATCGGTGTAAGACTCAAACGCATTATATAACTAACTAATTCATCTTAATTTATAATTGATATTTGCCACAAACATAGGGAGAGAGAGAAAATAAATATATAGCAAAGCAATATAAGATTCTTTCTTGATGTCCCACAGATCTTAGACTTACCGTCTCTTAAACATAGCTTAGATCTAAAGAGTGACTTGCAGATCACTTCAAAAGCTTTATAAATATGGGATTTCTGCTTTCATGCCCTATAAGAAAACTCCTAACTGATTTTTATCCATTTTCTTTCCCTCTCTCATTCGCATTCTTATTCTCCTACTGATTCAATGGCAAGAACCGTAGAGCCTCTTGTTGTTGGGAGAGTGATAGGAGATGTTCTTGATTCTTTCTCTCCAACAATCAAAATGTTTGTAAGTTACAATAACAAGCAAGTGAGCAATGGACATGAGCTCTTTCCTTCCACAGTTTCCTTCAGACCTAGGGTTGAGATTCAAGGAGGTGATATGAGAACTTTCTTTACACTGGTAAATTCCTTTCCTCTTTTCAAATTTCTCTTCTATAATTATTCATTACATTGGGGACTCTATGAATTAATTTCTCATCTTATTAACTTGCATCTTGCTAACAAAAAAAAAAAAAAAAATTATGTCTTGTTAATTGCAGGTGATGACAGACCCAGATGTTCCTGGACCTAGTGACCCTTACTTAAGGGAGCACCTGCACTGGTATACTCTAAAACCATCAAAAAATTCTTATGTAGCGGTGTATATTAGGATACTCTTATCTTGAGTCTTTTAATTTCATGCACATCAGACTATCAGTGTTAGTACAAACACATGTCGAAGTAAAAACCCTAGTTCATGGGTTGATGGCCAACTTTCTTCAAAAAAAAAAATAAATAAATAAATAACTTCGCCAAAAGCCTAAGGGGACATCAATAGAAATGACATTTATGTCATGTATAGAAAAAATTCTATTTACTGAAGTCATTTGTACCCGCAATCAATACATAATTATCACATAATTTTTTAAATTAATAACTATCAATCATATTGACGATAAAGATTGAGAAGAGAGAAAGTGCTTATGTAAATTATTGGATACCCATTGATAATCTAGATTTTTTCCATGAGCAATATTCAAGTTACTAGTTTGTTAAAACCATGTAGCCACTGCACGTCAATCATACCAATATAATATAATCTACAAATGCTAAGTGAGAACTAACAATAATTCTGGGTTAAACCTTTTTACAGGATTGTGACAAACATACCAGGAACAACAGATGTTACATTTGGTAGGTTATATAATTTACTTTGTAGATCTTAAAGGATTTTAATCATTTTTATTAAGGAATTTCATGTATGTCAGGGAGGGAACTGGTGAGCCACGAGACGCCAAGGCCAAATATAGGCATCCACAGATTTGTTTTTGTTCTATTCAGGCAGAAAAGTAGACAAATATTTAACCCACCTTCTTCAAGGGAAAACTTCAGCACTCGAGTTTTCGCTGCCGAAAACGATCTTGGTCCACCTGTTGCAGCTGTTTACTTCAATGCACAAAGAGAAACTGCAGCTAGAAGACGCTAACCAGAGCCCCAACCACACCCGCCACCCCCCGCGCGCACACCCACGCCGCCACACACACCCCCCCCCCCCCCCCCCCCCCCAAACCAAAAAAAAAAAAAAACTTATAATAGAAAAGTTAGGTGATGTGAAGGAAGTGTTTCTGGGTTTTTATCTAAAATTACTCTTTATAATTTAAATAATATGCAGTAAGGGAGGAATTACCATCTCCTCTACCCCATTTCCGCCATTGTATTGTGAAACATCGAGTGGTTTTTTCAATTCAATTTGAGAATATTTATGGTAAATGTGGGAAACTTATTTGATATGTTCTCTAAAATTATTTCTTTATTTTTGTTGGGTTGTCTTCATTATCCCTAAATTACACGCTGAAAATATTAGAAAACAAAAATTGTAGTGTATATATATATATGTATACAAATAATATTTTTATATTTAATGCTTTTAAATATGTGATAAAACAGCCCCTTTGTTTAGGGTCTTTTTCCATTTTTTTATGCACTTAAAAGGTACGTAAAAATGTGCACGAAGGCATAGAGTCAAGCGAGTTTCATTTGATTTCTTTCTTCGTACGATTATCATCTTGGTGGGACATGTTTCTGACCCTGCACTTCTTTTTTATTTAACCTTATGGTTAAATTCATCTGCGACAGAGTTTCCATACATAGGAAGTACATTTTCAGTACCATCCATTGAGTAAACAACTAAACATCTTTCTCTTTTCTCTATCAATGGAGCCCTATTTTCAAATTGTTACAATTACAATATGACATGCGCTAGTTTCTGCGTTTGACAGCGATGCACATTTCCCTTCTTAATAATTTATATATTATATATTATATTCTACTCCCTCCGTTTAAGTTACGTTTTAGCTAATTGCACAATTTTTATGCATTGATTTTTTTAATGTAAACAAAAAGAAGAGGAGGTGCTATCAACAAGTAGAGAGAGAATATTAAAGCAGACACGCAGAGCAAAGAAAGAGAAAGAGAAGAGATGTGGGCCATCGCAAAAAGGAGAATAGAGATATAACTGAGACAAGACAAGCGACACTTATTTAGAAAAAAAATTATACCCCAAACGTCATTTAAAAAAAACGGAGGGAGTATATTATTTTTTATTTTTGTTTATTTAATAAAACTTGTTTGGATTTCAAGCCCGTGCTGCCTGTGAAAAAAAAAAAAAACTGTTACTTGTGTTTGTTTGAGAAGTATATTCTTAAACTTAACAATGACATAATTCTCTCTCTCTCTCTCTCTCTCTCCTCTCTCTCTCTCTCTCTCTCTCTTATATATTATATATATATTATATATATAATATTATAAAGTGGGAATTGCGACATAAAACGATGCTACATTGACAATATACATCAATGCAATCATCGCACAATTGAGCCTCCGTTGGATTCATTTTTTGCCCGTCAAAGCCCCTATTCCGACACAACTGCCGCACCCCATTTGGATGCCTTTTAAGATTTGCACGATAGTTTTAGGTGCATTTTTTTAATATTTTCCATATTCTCAATCCTATTCCCATATTTGTTTGTTTAATTATTTTGAAAATATTAGTATATTTTTTAATTACTTTAACCCTTTAAGTTTATTAATTTCATTAAATTCCTAGAAAAAAGTTAAAATTAACAAAAACACACCCACTTAGCCATAGTTGCCAGATTCCGGTAACCACCGTCGGTGGTAGTTGAAATCTGTCACAACGCGCTACAAAAGACCGAAACTGACCGGTATTCATCGATCTGCCTTTCCGTAAACCATTGTCGTTGACCGACAACGACGGTCATTCTTTGATCGTCAGTGATGGCCTATCTGGACTTTTGCTGCCGTCACGACTGATTTGGCTGTAGATCTGGTCTTTTTCGACGGTCATATCAGCCGTACCCCCAAATCAATCGGTCTGCTTCGTAACCCATTTTTCGCCAGATTCTGACGGTGGTGGCCAGAATCTGGCACTATGGGTTAGTGGCGGTGTTTTTGTCATTTTACAAATTTTATATATTAAGGTGTTTAGTTAAATTAACAAACCTAGGAGGTTTTTTGTTAATTTTTAAATTTTATCTCGTAATACTCACTCTATTCAACTACATAATATTATTCTCAAAATCCTATCTAAAATAACAAATAAAACAGACCCTTACAATTAACATACAGCATTATGGATTATTATGTGTAGCATATAATTAAAGAAGCCAACTGGACAACACACAATTTGATGTGTAGCGCGGGCAGTATGATTTTGTTAGTAATTTTCTCCCTCGTCACCGCTAAGATGAAAGACCTATGGAAGATTTTTCAACTTATTGTCTTTAACTTCTTGTAATTCGATGCATTCATGCAATACATAATTTAAAGAAAATTCTCTGTTCTGAACAGGTTTAGCATAACTATTAAAATCAATAACTAAATCTTAATGCGTCACAAAAATTTAACAAAAAGAAAAAAATTAATATGGTTCACATAAACTCGTCTACCTCGGAGGATCTGGAAAATGTGATTTGGGTTGGCCCAACATATAATTGTTGGATTGTGTTTAAAATGTTATCTATTGGTAATGTGAGGACCTCCACCGCCTTGAACTTAGAGGCCGTGGGGCGGTCAAATGGGGGAGGATTTTTTTTATAACATAAAGCTACGGACACCAAAATTTTGCACCGAAAATGTGTACCACCTACGTGTAACATGCCTCTGATTTTTTTAACATTTTTTTTCTAGTGAAGGGCCATCCATCAAATTTGGACGCCGTTTACTTAATGGACGTCCGTCCATATATATGGACGGGCGTCCCCATTTAAAGGACGCCCGTCCATAAATAAAATATGAAAAAAAAAACTTTGGGGACGGCCATCCAAAATTACGTTTGACGGGCGTCCATTAGGAATGGATGCCCGTCCATACTTTAAAAAAAAAAAAAAAAAAAAACGTTTGGACGAATGGACGCCCGTCCACTATTTTGGTTTCTACAAATTAAAGAAAAACTTTGGATGTACTTACGTTTTTAAAATAAAAAAAAACTTGCAGTTTCACGCAAGGCTATGGGTTTGAGATCGCCAATGAGTTAGGAAGTGTTCGTTAGTTACGCCTTGAATTCAACACCCAGCATCCTTTCTCGTCCTCTAAGCAATGACATCCATTCTCCCGGATACACTGAAGGGCCGCTTCAGTACAGAGAGCAGCAAGATCTGCTCCCACATAACCATGGGTATCTCTTGCACTCTTTCAAGATCAACCTAAAACATGCCATCAAATAAGAATGTCACTATACCAAAGAAAAAGACATAAAATGATTTATAGAAAAAAAGACATAAAATATTTATAAAAGACGATGAGATGAAGCAGATAAGAGTCCTACATCTTCCATGCTTTTAGCAAAAGTTTATAATTATATTTTTAATTTAGGGTAAGAGAACGAGAGGTTTTGAATATTTTAAAGCATCCATGACCATGAATACGATCAAGCTCTGGTTCAGTCTCAGTTTCATCCTTCTCTTTTGTGTGACAGCGTTATCATGGTTCAAGAATTGCGTAGCAAGTTGGAGCAACTGGAGACACTATTCTCTAGGTTGAGGTCCCTCAAAAATCCTAATGACCTTTTTAACAAGGTAATTCCATGGAGGCAAGAGTTTAAGATTTTCAGGGAAGTCAGTAGCGATGAAGAGAATAAGGATAAGCTACAGAACTTCAACCAGGATGCAAACGTACTAGACTGGCTGGAGGACGTCAAAAAGTTGGTTGATGATGTGCAAGAGATACTGCATGAGATTGCTATCACTGGAAAGAGTTCACAAAAGCGTGGCTTCCTTGCTCATTGTTGCAATCCAGTAGCTGATACTGCATTTACTGATACTCGTCGAATAGATAATGCAAGTAAGCGAATCCATATACTCAAGAAAAGAATGAAAGACACTGGATTGAAAGTGAGATACGAACACTTCCTAACTGCATTGGCGATCTCAAACCCATCAGCCTTCAAACCCATCAGCCTTGTGTGAAACTGTAAGTTTTTCTTTTATTTTTAAAAATGTAAGTAATGGACGGGCGTCCATTCCTTACGGACGCCCGTCCTATCCAAAGTTTTTCTTTAATTTGTAGAAACCAAAATAATGGACGGGCGTCCATTCCTTCCAAACGTTTTTTTTTTTTTTTTTAAAGTATGGACGGGCGTCCATTCCTAATGGACGCTCTTCCAAACATAAGGGACGGGCGTCCATTAGGAATGGACGCCCGTCCAAACGTAAGGTAATAGACGCCCGTCCAAACGTAAGGGACGGCCATCCAAAATTTATGGATGGCCGTCCCCAAAGATTTTTTTATTTTTTTTATTTTCATATTTTATTGATGGACGAGCGTCCTTTAAATGGGAACGCCCGTCCCTTGTACATGGACGCTCGTCCATATAATATAGACGGGCATCCATGTGAGTGAATAACCGTCCAAATTTGATGGACGGCCGTTCACTAGAAAAAAAATTGTTAAAAAGTTCAGAGGCGTGTTACACGTAGGCCGGTACACATTTTTGGTGCAAAATTTTCGGTGTCCGTAGCTTTGTTGTTTTTATAAATACCCCCCTCCCCATCATTCTTAAGAAATGTAAAAATTTAGGGAAAGATAAATCTCATTGTAGTCCTATTATTCTTTCTCTATACATATTAGTCTATTTGCTTTATATTATTGGTAATTATTATACAACACGTTATCAGCACGAAGAAATTAACAAGTGTAACGTTATGCCCTTGTTGAAAGTAAATACTTTGATCTTACATGTGTTCTTTAATCTCTGTTTTCGCCTTTATGGTTGAATTTATTTATTTATTATTAAATTTCGCCTTTATGATCGGATCTATTTATTATTGTTAAATTCTGCTTTTATGGTCAGATCTATTTATTATTGTTAAATTCCACCTTTATGGTTGAATATATTTATTATTGTTAAATTCCGCCGCTATGGTCGGATCTATTTATTATTGTTAAATTTTGCCTCTATGGTTGGATCTATTTATTATTGTTGAATACCACCTTCATGGTCGAATCTGTTT